CAGAAAGTATATCAGATCCCCTGGAACTAGAATCCTGGATCATTGTGAGACAACTTGCGTGTGCTGGGAACTGAAGCCAGAGCCTCCAGAGGAATAGCAAGTGCCCTTCGCTGCTGAGCCTCTCTCTGGCCTCAAGATTTCACTTGTCAATTTATGCGCATGTGTGCAAACCTTCGTAAGGGTATGGGTGTCATGTGCATACCCTGGAGGTTGGAAGAGGGTGTCAGATCCCCAGAGTCTAGAATGTCCCAAGGTGGTTGTAGATGGCCATATGAGTGCTGGAACTGAATCCAGATTCTCCATAAGAGCAGTAAGTGCTCATAACCACAGAGCCATCTCTCCAGGCCCAGTTATAAGGTTTTGTCATTTATTTATTTATTTATTTATTTATTTATTTATTTATTTATTTATTTATTTATTTATTTATTATTTATTTATTTAGAGGCATATCCTCACTGTGTAACCTTAGCTAACCTAGAGCTCACTATGCAGACTACGCTAGCCTTTCACTCATGAAGAACCACCTGTTTCTGCTTCCCTAGTGGTGGGATTAAAAGTGTGAGTCATCTAGTCTTTATTATTATTCCCTTACGACTTTCAGAGATGAAAAAATGTTTAAGATTTTACAGATTTCAAGAGACATTTCCTATTTCTCCATGCCCCATCCCTACCTGCCCCCTCCCCCAAAAATTTCCTTTTCTTTAGGGAACTATCAAGAGAAGAAAAACAATTTTGTTGCTAAATCTAAAAGCTTCAATAACCCTAGGTAGGATCACCCCTTCCAGCCTCTGACTTGAGACCGCTGTGCTGTGTGCCATCTGAGAGCCTCACCTCTCTGGACTGTGAAGTGGAAGGGGTTTCAGCTGCTTTCCTGGGCGGAGCTGAGAGCACAGTGTGAGATGTCCTGAGATTAAAGCACTGTGCACTTGAAGGACCTGTCTGTCCGAAGAATTTTTAAAAGGGGGCGGGGGCGCTCTTCATCTGTAACCCTTTCCACCCTCAGCCATCCTACTGGCAAGTCTTTCTGTGCTGGCCAGACCTCAAGCTTGTTGTGGAAAAAAAGAGGCATTTATGGGGAAATGAAACCACCCTCCTCGGCAGAACGCTCCTCCACACATTTGCTGTGGCCCAAAGCTGGTACTCTGCAAGGACCATTCAGCCTCAAGAGGCCCCTGAAGCTGTCTGACGCCACAGGCTGAACCAGAAGCTGGTAAACAGCTCGTGGTATTCCTAGCTCTGTGGCAAGCATTCATGCACAGAATTCTTTGTCCTCGTGAGGAAAAACAGAAAGCTGCTGTGTGCTGCAAAGCCCTAGGCCAGAGCCCCATTTTCAAAATCCCCAACCAGAGATCATGCCAAGGCCAAGCATGCCACCAGCCTTTAAAGCACACTTGTGAAATAAACTTGCCCAAACTTGGACTTCTCACTTGAAAACTTAGATTTACTTGTTAATTCCAAAGGGAAAACATGGCAAGGTTACAAGGAAGAAGTCTGGCAAGCTCCTACTTAATTGGAGCAAGTACGCTTATATGCCTTCTAAAGGGTGAGCTACAATGCACCCAACATTATTTCTGTCAGTGTCTTACCCCCAAACACATCACCTGATGTGATTGTCAGGGATATCCTCAGCCACATCGACACACCAGACCAACACACCAGACCAAGGGACATTGTTACAAAACAACCGTCTCTATATCCTTCAAAAGGATCAATGCTGGGGCCAGCAAGAGGGCAGCAAGTAAAAATACTTGCAGCCAAGCCTAAGGACCTATGTTTGCTCCTCCAGACCACAGGGTCCCATGTCCCAAGGCCTATCTTCCAACTTCCACATTTGAGCCATGGCACGCGGCGCGCACACACACACACACACACACACATACACACATTAAATTTTTAAAAACAAAACAAAAAATTACATCTGCTAGTTGTGGTTGTATACACTTGTAATCATAGAGGCTCAGGCAGAAGACCTGTGAATTCTGAGGCCAGCCTAAACTATGTATGGACTTCCAGACCAACCTGAGTTACGTAGTGAGACCTTCTAGAAGGGCTCATGCCTGTAATCTCAGAGTTTGAGAAGCTGGGGCAGGGGGATCAGCATTAGTGTACAATCATACATAGGCAACAAGTGTAAGAGTGTGTCAGGCAGCATTAAAAACAGAACAAAATAGTAGATTGAAATAATGGAGAAACGACTAAATTCCAAGGGGGAATCAGAAAAGGTTAAAGCCTAGCTGGGAAAAAGCTCTGTTTAAAAACAAAAAACAAACAAACAAAACCTACAAAACCTATCAAGAAACTTAGGAATAAATTGAGTGAGCAATCAATGTGATCAATGTGAGACTTCCTGAATTTAATTATCATATTAGGGTTGCATAAGGACGTGTCCACACATACTGAAGCATTTAGGGGTTAAAGTGCTATGACATCTACAGTCAGCTCTTGAAGAATTCAGCAAAAAAATAATAGTTATTATAATATCTATATGGAGAGAGATTAAAATAAGTGAAGGCATTAAGAGAACTTTTTTTCAAAAAAGGAAACGAAAGGAAGGTAAGAAGAAAAAGCAAAAAGAAAAGAGTCAGGTGATTGTGGTGGCGCATGTCTTTAATCCCAGCACTTGGGGGGCAGAGGCAGAGGCAGGCAGATCTTGGAGTTTCAGGTCAGCCTCATCTACAGAGTAAGTTCCAGAATAGCCAGGGCTATACAGTGAAAACATGTCTCCAAAAGAAAAGAAGAAGAAGAAAAAGAAGAAGAATTGGAGAACACAAATGTGTATGTGTATCATTATATTATTGTCGCAATTTCTCTAAGGGTTTTAATTTAAGGAATATATATATTTTAAAGAGTGAAAGAGGGACAGAAGTGGTGTGCACACCTTTAAATCTAGCACACAAGAGGCAGAAGCAGGTGGTTCTCTGAGAGTTTGAGGTCAGACTGGTCTACATAGTGAGCTCCAGGTTAGCCAGGCCTACATACATAGTGAGATCCCAGGGGAGCTGGGGGCAAGGGTTAAGGGGATGGGAGCTGATGAAAGGAAGGATGGAGGAGGGGACCAGCACCTTCAGTTATATGCTTAGCTGAGACTCCTAGGTTGTATTTCCTAGGCTCAGATAGCACTCTGAAATGGGGGGGGGGGGTTAGCCATGTTTGAGTCCTGGTGGGGGCTGCCCATCTTGGTCTAGGAGGCCAGATACTCAGCTACACTTCAACACTGACACTTCTCAAAACATTTCAGATGATTCTCTGCTGCACAGGAAAATAATCACTGTGTTACAATCACACCTTGCTTTTCACCCAAAATGGCCCATCAACACCACTGTCCAGCCAGCTTCCAAAGGGATCATAGACTACTGGAACAGGCAAGGACCTTAGAGACTCTAAATGCCTCACCCACATTACCAGGAAGTAAACAGAGGCTCACAATGGACCCCTAATGTAACCAACATGGGAGGTTAGCCCCAGTGACTCCCAGACCAATAAATACTCTTTTGCAGGTCCTGGAAACTCTACAGTATTGTTCAATCCCTTTGGCTCTTTGCAAAATTAAGAAAGAAAACTTTGTTTTCCCAAGGAAATTATCCCCCCACACACTTTTTTTTAAGCTTAATTACATTTTCTTCTTATGAGTGTGCCTGTGTTTGTGTGTGTGTGTGTGTGTGTGTGTCTGTCTGTACGTCAGAAAACCACCTTGCAATGGTCAGTTATCTCCTTCTACCATATGGGGTCCTATGAATTAAACTCAGGTCATCAAGCTTTGCAGCAATCACTCTTACCCATGGAGCCATTTCATTAGTCCAAACTGTCCCTTTTTTTTAATGTATAGTTAATTCTGTTTGCAATTACAACAGAAAAGAACAAAAATATTATTTCTGGAGATGTAGCACATTGGGTAGTGTCAGCCTGGCATACTAGAGGTTCATATCGGGCTCAGTCCCCATCACTGCCTAAACCAGGGTGGGAACACACAGGATCGTATTCCCAGGAGTCCAGAAGAAGAAGCGGGAGGATCGGGTTATCCTCCAGCCCCTTACGCCTTCTTCTGTGCTGCTCTTTCTGTGGTGATGGCCCCTGCAGGATGGAGACCATCTGTTCTGTATCACTGCCTGCAGCCTGAGCCTGATGTGAGCAGTTCCTTGAGGTTTAATGGCGTTACTACCCATCCAGCCACCCAGGACTCCCAACTGTCCCAGCTGATCAGTTATCACCTGGAGAACTTGGGAACCTCATCAGATCCACTAGATGTGTCATTTACCCCAACCCTACCCCTTTCCTTAATGTATGGACACTTTAGAACACACTAGCCTACACCTCCCCTTCCTCAAACTAAAAATAACTGAGTTGATATACAATTAGACAGCTTGTGTAGTTCTGCCCAGGGAATCTTTCTGCTGTCCCAGTAGTCACTTTCTCAACAGTGTACATGGGTAGACCGCATCACTGGATAGCTCACACTTGTAACCCCGACATTCAGGAAGATGAAACAGAAAGATGTTCTCAAATTTAAGATCAGTTCAGATGACATAGGGAGTTCCAGGACAGCCTTGTCTACAGTTTATCTCAAAACACAAATTATCTGTCTCAAAAATACAAAAAAATAATAATAATCCTTCTACCTCCACCCACATGTGGATGTGCTGGAACTTCAGTTGTGAACCAGATGAGTTTCTGGGGCCTTAACCCAGGCTCTCATGCATACCAGCCAAGCACTCGATGAACCAAGCTCCAGCCTCTCCCCACCCCACACTCCCTTTTAAGGTCTTGATTATGAAAAGGTAGGTGTTCTATGAGGAATTATGGCCACTAGCCACTCTCAATCATTCAGCAATGATGCCGACAGTCTCCCATGAGCATCAAGAAGCAAAAACTTCCTTCTAGGTCTTAAACATCACTAACAAACAAGCGATGCCACTGGGTAAATCAAGTCTGAACAGTGAGGGCTATGTGTGCAGCCTCCATTGGCTTCATCCCTTCAACATAGAATGCAGGAGCACAATATATCAGGGTTAATAAAGAGATTTATTTGCCTTGTACAGCATCAACTTTCTTACATTCTCAATTAATTTGCCATTAAAGTGCCATACATTTCCTTAATCATGATGACATTTGTTAAAAGAAATCAGAAGTTTTCCCAGGACATGACAGTCATGAATGAACACTCTTCTTACCAAACCCAGAGTGGAAGCCCCTCACATTGACCTGGTAGGTCAATTTGCAAACAGATTCAAATTCCCTCTTACCTTGAAAACCACACTAGGCTGGGACTAGCCTACCTGGGGATAGAAAGTCATGCTCCCGAGACTGAGAAACACCCACCTGCTGAGATATGCCACCTTCTCAGGGCCATGCCAGGGTGTCACTGTTTGTACAGGTCTAACCAGAGCAATGAAGACCTGGCCTGCTCTGCCACCTTTTATCCCACTCTCCCTTGCTCACAAAAGCCCCCAAAGTCATTACAATGAAAAAAAAAAAGTGGGTTTTCATTACCCAGGTACTAACAACGTTCAGTAAAAATAAGGATGATAAACATAAAAGCTTGCTTAGTAAACATGAGCTCTCAGCGTTCAATGCAAAAGAAAAAAAGAAACCAAAAAAAAAAAAAAAAAAACTTAAATCTTAAGGCAAATACTATTGACTTTGCACATGGGCCGGATGAACTTCGAACTCTTTACCTAGCTGCAGAGTCCCAGGAGCCTCGAGGCACTTGGTTTGTCAGCACTTGCCACTGGCAGAGGCAAGATCTTTGCATTATTGCTGAAGCTGTTGGCGTGTTTCTCTTTGGAGTTTATATACAAACACACCCAAGGCTGATGCATTTATATATATGTACACGCATACAGGGCACACTACTCTTTCTTTGTGGAAATTGATAGCTCTACCTCAGGAAGCTGGATGCCAACCTTAGTCCCACTGTCGTTGCTAGAGGAGGAAGACAGTCGGGACTTCTTTGAGGCCAAGGACACTCCACTCCCTTGTAACTTGCCTGCCTCATCATCACTCCCTGTCACCTCATAATGACCTTTGCTCTTTGACCCCAACCCACCAAAGGTACCGAACTTCAGTTTCCCATGTTTGCCTTTAGCTTCTCCACCTGCAAACTCCAAAGTCCCAGTCGGGGTGGAGGGCGCAGAGAACTCCCTCTCATCACTGAAGGAGTTGGAGCGGTGTCTTGGCTTCTTACTTTTAAATAAGGAGAATTTGCCTTTGGGCGAAGATGCTTCAGCTTCTGCTTCTCCCTCTAGAGAGCCCAAGCTGGCCTTTGAGCTCTTCAGGTCCCCTTTGGACCCAGAAATGGATGCTTCTGGTGAGCTAGTGACACCACCTTTCCCTTTAGCTTTGGAAAAATTGAATTTGGGCATTTTGATTTTGGATTTTTTAAGTTTTACTTCAGACTCTTCCCACTCGCCTTCTCCGGCACCAGCTTGCACATTGGCCTCCACTTTAGGGAAATTGACATCCACCCCTACTTCTCGACCAACCAGCTCACGGCCAGAGAAGGTAAATTTAGGGATCTTCATCTTGGGGAATGTTACTTTTCCAGATCCACTTTCCAAGTGACCTTGAGGCCCAGACACACTCATCCCAGGACCCTGGAGTCCAATCTGGCTTCCTTTGACATCTCCTTCTATCTTTGGTCCTGAGAAATGAAGGTTCCCAGCAAGTTTAGATGTATCCAAGTTGAGAGAGGAGGAGACTTGGGGTCCCTTCAACTCAACTCCAGAGCCTTTGACACTCATATGTCCTTCTCCCAGGTTGATATCTGGAACATCTACACCTCCTTTGACTTTGGGGCCCTTCAAGCTGACACCAAAATCTGACTCAGAAGATGCCACATTAAAGGAAGGCCCCTTGACGCTGACATCAGGAACAGCCCCATAGAGACCTATTCCTGAACCTTTCAGATCTCCTTTAATTTCAGGACCAGAAATCTGCCCTGTTGGGAGTTTCACATCACACCCAGAAGCCTTAACTCCAGGCATTTGAAGGTTTCCTTCTAGTCCTTGAACACTGATACCTGAAAGACTTCCCCCAACTGCTGGGCCTTTCAATTCACCAAGGCTCCCCTTCACTTTTGGTCCTTCCAAGTTTAAGTCCATGCTTGGTGCTGAGACCTGGGGCCCTTTCAGGTTCACATCCATCCCTGGCCCCTTTAGTTCGCCACAAACTTGTGGCCCCTTGATGTTAATGTCCAAGTCAGACCCCGGAGCGGAGATGCTGAACTGAGGCAGCTTTATGTGGGGAAGTTTGACACCACCTTCTGAGGCCTCCAAGCTGAGATCGGGAGCTCCCACAGATAACTTAGGGCACTTGATGTCCCCAGACGCAGCCAGGTCTCCCTGTAGGCTTGGTCCCTTCAGTGTCACATCCGGTGCCCCCACGTTAAGTGCTGCTGTAGCATCAACCCCTGACACTTTCACACCATCTCCTCCTATCTGCACTTTTCCACCAACACCTTTGAGGTCAAGACCTGGAGCATGCAGCTTCATGCTGGGACTGGACACCCCCAGGTCTCCCTTCAAACTTGGTCCTTTCAAGTTCAGGTCAAGATCAGGCCCAGAAACTTTTGTCATAGAGAGGTCCACCGAAGGCAAGTTGACTCCTGGGCCTTTTAGAGAAATATCAGGCCCTTGAAACTTAACATCTGACGTGCTCAAGCCTCCTTCAAGAGAAGGAATCTGGGCACTGATCTCAGTGCCCTCACCTTCCATTTTCACGCCAGGGGCACTGATCTTGGGCATTGAGAACTTCGGGAACTTGATTTTTCCTTCTGGACCTTGTAGATCTACATCAGGTCCCTCCAGCCCCACACTGGGAGCATCACCCTTTATCTTTGGTCCTTTCAACTTAACATTCACATCAGGTATGGAGACTTGAGGAGTGGAAACACTAAAAGCGGGTACTTTGATTTTAGCATCAGGGCCTTCAATGTTGATGTCAGGTGTATCCACATTTGCCTGCACCTTGGGACCTTTCAAGTTGCCCTCTATCTTTGGCCCTGAGACCTCCACACCTGGCATCTTGAACTTGGGAGCCTTCACGTGAATATCAGGAGCTTCCACATTAATCCCTGGTGAAGAAATATCTACTTCAGGTGTCTTGATTTCACCCTCCAGCTTGGGGCTGGGTAGGGGAGCCTCTGTTTTAAATTTAGGTGACTTAATGTCAAATTCTACATCTGGGAAGTACATTTTTCCAAACATAGTTTTCTTGACTCTGGGAGATTTTACGTCAGCTTTGACTGCAGCGTCAGGCCCTGCAACACTAACATCCACATCAGGGGTCTTGAGACTGGCCTCAGTCTCAACTCCAGGAACATTCAAATCAAATCCCTGTTTTTTGGCCTTAACTTTAGGACCACTCATGTGAATTTTAGGCATTTTAAACTTGCTTTTCTTGCTCTTGCCACCAACACTTATTTCAGGAGTCTCAACATTCAGCTCTGCTTCAGGGACAGTCACATCAACTGAGGGGGCCTTGATTTCAGCTTTGGGGCTTTTTGCACCAAATCCAAACTTCGGTTTCTTAAACTTTGGAAGTTTAACATCTGGCCCCTCAATATTAATATCTGGGCTCTCCATGTGGACATCTAAGCTTGGAGTGTCTAAATCAACTTTGGGCCCTTTGAGGTCCACTTCACCACCTCCTAAGTTAGGCCCAGAAATGCCAATTTTTGGTGACTTGATGTGCAGATTAACATCAGGCCCAGCTACTTTAGGAGCAGATACATCCATCGATGGCATCTTCAAGTTAGGGCCACTAAGTTTAGCATCAGGGCCTTCAAAATCCATACCTGGACCTTTCAGGTCTATTTCAGGCCCTTTGAGAGTACCTTCAATCTTAGGAACAGACCCATCAAAGTCTCCTTTTACTTTGGGTCCTTTTAACTCAAGATCAACATCAGGCATAGATATTTTGGGAGCCTTAATGTTAATCTCAGGCATCTTGAACTTGGGACCCTTCACTTTCATATCTGGACCCTCAACATTGACATCTGGAACATCAATGTCCACCTTGGGTCCTGAGACACCAATGTCAGCCTTGGGTAGGTTCACATCCACTTCTGGGCCCTCTCCT